CAGTTATTCCCACTTTAAACTGGTTTCTTGTTCTGTCTTCAGCAAAACTGTGATCAGTTTTCTTAATCACAAGGGCATATAGCAATTTGCACTGTTGACAGAATAGACTATGAAGTAAATCCTTGAGATTGCACTAAATGTGCCCCCTTCACCCTACACCATTGAGGAAAAAACTGAGAGGGCATAAAAAGCAGCAGCACCCATTGGAATGTTAAGTTCAAATTACTATATGGCACCATGACAGCAGAGAGGAAGCATAACTTTCATTGTATTGCTTTCACTGAGAAATAAACTTAAAACTGGGCACAAAGCCAGAAAATGGACAGAAGAAAGTCTGTATGAAGCATATTTGAAGAAGCACACTTGCTTCTGCCAGTATAAACGTAGCCATTTTTCTTCTTCAATCCCTCCCAAAAGATAGGACATTCATTGTTCAATTCCAGATTTTATGGAAGTTGTTTAGAAAAGAGAGCCTTGTAAGCAACATTGAACATAGTTGCAGTCCATCCCCACAATATTATGTCAAACCATGAATATATTGGGCTCTGCCGTAATATATTTTTCTTTCTTTATATAAAAACTAGCATTTGAGATTTTATATTTGAATTCAGTGGTTTGGGCAAAGAACATTTTAAACCCAAGTATAATCTGAGGCATGAGTAGCAAAAAGTATCCTAGGGTCTATAGATATTGTAGATATGTAATAGAATTTAATAAATAAAGCAAAGGCTTCTAACTCCAAAACAAGAACCTTGTTTTGCATTCTAAATTAGACTGCTGTAAATGAGCGATATGTTTTATAGGCATGCTTCAGTTCTACTACTGAAAATAATATTAGCATATGCTCAGAAACCTTTTTTTTCTACAACTTTCTTGCTACATAAGCCACAATTTCACACTTGTGAAAGCAGTCATAAGTCACTTTTTTCAGTGCTGTTGTAACTTTGAATGGTTATTAAATGAACTGTTGTAAGTCAAGGACTATCTGTACTGTGTACCCTGGTCAAGCATCGCTTATAAACTAAGCAATGAATAGAAGGAAATGAACTTCCAATAATCTTTTCAGCTATCCTCACCAACCTTCTGCACAGCCTTCCTGTCCAAACTAGTAATACCTCCAAGCCACACAGTAATACAATATGCTTTCAATTGTCCCTCCATAGAAAGTGGTAAAGATAAAGGAAGATATACTCTTCTCATTCAACACAAAATGCAGGCACTGCTGTGGCTGCATCACCAGTGTCTCACTGTTGAGCGACCAAGCTATTCTGTTTGCCAGCTGCACACCCAAAAATTTGATACTACTAGCCACCTCCACAGTTGAATTGTTAGCGTGTTTCTCACAAAATAAGGCCGGGCCTTATTTTTTTTTGACCCCCGAAAAAACGGCTAGGCCGTCTTTTCGCGGGTGACTTAATTCCCCCCCCCTGCATCCTCGGGTGGGCAGGCGGCAACAGCTTGGATGTTGACCTCGGCGTTGGTAGGGCACTTCGTATCGGGACACCTTCCGTCACCGTTGCTTTCCCTTTTCCCTTGCTGCCGTGGCATTTAGAGCAACGCCGCGGTGTTTGGTGCAGCCACGTGCGGCCAGCCAGGGCTCCTCCCTGCAACCGGAGCCCGGCGGAGACACTCGGCTTCAGGCACTCCTGTCGCCGCTTTCCCTTTGCCTTCGAAGGTAAAGCCAATTATTTTAAAAATGACGCCCTACTACAACAAAGCCTCCCCTGCCCGAGAGGGCAGCCCAACCCCATGTGGGGAGGTGAATCTCCCAGGGCCGCAACACAGGATCAGCCCACCTCGGGAGAAGCGCCCAGCCGCCATCACTGCCTGGCGCCGGGCAGAGCGCAAAGAGCTCTGCCTGGGGTGCCCAGCGCAGCTGACAGGCGGGCCCTCCTTCCCGGCAGCAGAGCTCTCACCAAGGCAGAGAGTACCTCCCCGCCGGACCCTCCGCTCATCCCGCCAGGGCTGCTCCAGAGCCATGCGGGCTGGGCAGAGCCAGGAAAGCGAGCCGCGGGTGCGCGCCCGCCTGCCAAGCAAAAGAGCTGGGCCGACCTGAGCTTGGCTTCCTTCCCAAGTCCCTCCAGCACGAACCCGAAGGTTTCACCAGGAGAGGCTGCCCGAGGCAGTGATAGCGCCCACCCGTCCGCGGACAGGGAGGGGAGGTGATGGTAGTACTGCTTCCCTGGCCGTCGGAGAGAACCCGAAGCCCCCCGTCCTTTCCACCCCTCGCCCAGCCCGTCCCCGTCCCCACGCATCTCCAAATGCTCCGGCAACTTCAAACGCTGCAGTGGAACAGGCATCAGGCAGAGGCGCTGACTCGGCGGGGCTCAGCTCGGAGGACGCGGCGCAGGCCGTCGCCTTGCCTCTCTGTCCATGGATGGGTGGGCGCTATCACTGCCTCGGGCGGCCTCTCCTGGTGGCCCCTTCGGGTTTGGGATGGAGGGACTTGGGAAGGAAGCCAAGCTTGGGTCGGCCCAGTTCTTTTTTGTTTTTCCTCCATTTAAAACCAGGCTGTTTTTATTACAACAGATCATCAAACTTACTGCGTCCAGCTGGTAATTGCCCTCACTATAATCCCAAATAAGGCCCACTATCTGCACAATATGGTTGGTAGCAAACCTTGCACAATAGTCATGGGTCAGCAGGGTGAACAACAGCAAACTTGAGACACAGCCCTGAGGAGAACCTGTGCTCAAGAACATGATTGTTATTTCTAATATTAGTCCCAACTCACATATACTGAGGCCTATCAGTGAGAAATGGGCAGTAATGTGAAAAAAATAAAGCATGATTTTGCAGTGTGCTTTAATAGCACAGAACAGAGCCTTGGACTCACTTAATGACCACATAGTTTAGCAACCAAAATTCTGGTCCAAATTGCAGGCTTAAGTAAGGACTACCATACATACATCTGCAGGCAATCTACTTGAGAAAGAAAATATGACATAAATCAATTTCCACAATTGAAGAATGGTTGATAATTGTCAGGGATGGCAAAATTGACTGTTTTAAATAAAGAAAAATTATTTGTTGTTGTTTCTATTTAAAAATACTTCTATATTTTTTCAATTTTTAAAAACTTTAGATTTTGATGATTAAAATGATTTTATTATGGAAATGGCTTGAAACATTTAGAAATGTAAAGCAAAACATTGAGGCTGTAACATTTTTGTACTGTACTGAATTAAAAAATCAAAAGTCACTTTTTTTGTTTACTTTCTGCATTCTTTCTTTTCTCAATGTTTTTATTTATATTTTATTTTATAATAAACTTTAATAAAAAAGAAAAAGAGAAAGAAAGTATGACATATACTTAATTTTTACCTCCCTAGAATACTATTAGATAATACAATTTTGAAACTCATATTCTGATTGGGTGCTACATAGCTAAATGAATTTGATTCAATGCTTTGCCAAAGTACTTCGTCCGTTGCTGTTCTTTTGGCTTGATTCAAGTCCAGCTTGCAATGCTAAACCAGTTACAATTTGCTTTATCCAGCTTTTTCTTTGTGTCCCGCAATAAATGTTCCTCCATGCTGCACACTGCACGACTCCCTGCGTGCATCTCCCCCGTGCTACGTGACATATACCTGACAATCAGCTGGCTGGTGGGGGCACATACGCATGCGCAGTGGGGCTCTTCCGGGTGACCTCTCGCATGCCAGCAGAAGTGGCTCTGCGTGCCATTTCCAGCACATGTGCCATAGGTTCATCACAGATCTATGCAGATTGTACATTTGGAAGATCTTCAATTTTTGGACCTACAGCTATAGAAGCACCCATGATCTAGTTTGAAATAGAAACACTGGTAACATTGGTGACTAAAATATTCACATTTTACTATATGTGTAAATGTTAGCAGGGGTGGGATTCTACCGGTTCAGACCAGTTCTATAGAACCGATTGTTATGATTCATGCTCCATATTTCTGCTTCAACTTATATGTAACTGCTCTTCATTTAAAAAGTTCATTCTAATTGTAACTTGCTCTCAGTTTTTCTTTTTAATAATAAAGCTATATCTCACAAAACATTCTGTTCCTTACTGCTGACTAAAATTTGCCTTGCAGTACTTCCTTATACTTGGTTCTTCATTACTTTCCAAAACATGTTTAAATATGTTCATCTTGTAGCTCTTCTTCCTTCTGTGATTACCACTTTGCTTTAGCACAATTGTTCCTCAGTCTGGAAACTTCTCTGCAATTTTTTTCATTGTATTATTGCTAAGGAACTATTTTTGAATTTTTTTCTTTTAGTGAAATTACAAACTTTCCTTTTATATTTTGTTACAAACATATTAACCAACAGCAACACCAGTATTTTTCTTTGGCAAAAGACATTATAGTGGTATCACTGTCATTTAATATATTTGTCAGATTTCCAAGTAACCTCCAAATTAAAAAAACTCAGACTGTCATCTTCTCAAATATCCATTTTATTAGAGATGTCATATTGGCACATGTGAGGAAAACCCGAATTTGAGATTTCCAGATTTTCCCTAGCTCAAAGGGAATCCAAAATCCAACCCCTGCACCCATGGTCCAATTATTACTTCATTCCAACTAGAAACTATCCCCAGGCACTTTCCTCCAGGTGCAGAGTAACATGTCCTTGACTCTCTGAGAAAGGAATGTTGTTATGGGTATTCTTCCATTGCTCCTTGAAATCCCCCTTCCAAATTCCCAGTCATTGAATGTGGCAGCCCAGAAGCCTAAAAAAAAATGGCTTCCAAGCTGACAGTATTATTGCCATTAATTTCATATTTATCAAGAAAAAGAAAGCTTAATACAATCCATTATAGAGATTTGGAAAACTAAAATGCACTGTATAACACTAAAAATGCCATGTGAGCATTCTTCAATCAGTTTTTTCTTCATATTGCTTATCTGCAAATGATTTAAGATCTCAACTAAGATCTATAAATATATAGTTCCTTACAAAATTGTTTTGATCTATGCATCTCTAGAATTATGGGGGCAAAACTCTGAAAAGCATACTTACGCATTGCAGTATGGCTTCTTCCCATAGCCCTTGTAGTTTTTCATGTTGAGAGTCATCTTGCAGACTTCGCAATGAAAACATGCTTTATGCCAGTACTAGGGAAATATAAAACATTGCAAGTGGATTAATTAACTAAAGAATGTATATTCAAAGATAACAAGTCTTTGTACCAGTCATACATTCCTGATGGATATTTTAGATAGATGCTCACTGTAAGAACTTTATGTTGCTTAAATGTAAAAACAAAAACTGAACAAAAATACAAACATGTATTTTTATTTTATTTAGTTAGTTAGTTAGTAAAAACAGTAGTAAGTTCTTAAAATAACTACTTTGTAACCACTAAACTTATTAACTCTAACATAGTGGTCCTCAACCTTTCTGGCATCAGAAACTGGTTTTGTGGAAGATAATTTTTCCATGGACTGAGGTTGTATGCATTTCTCCTGCAACCTAAATCTGACTAAAGGCCCACAATAACACTTCCCAAATGGAAGTTATTTTATGTAATCTTACAACAAAAATACCATTGTGATATTTAAGAAAACCAAGTTTCCATTGGTTTGAAAGATATCTTTTTTATCATGAAGATGAATAGCAGAGTTAGTTCATGCTAGCATTTCTAAGTGGAAGATTTTATGTCTTCCAAAATAGGAACAGAAATTTCTGAACTGAGAAAAGATGGCACTGAATTGTCACCTGCAACTATTCTGATAATAGAAAGAATATACAAGTAGTCTTCAATTTACAACTATTTGTTCAATGTTATTATGGCCTTGGGAAAAGTGATTCACAATGTGTCTTTGAAGTTACAACCAGCACACCACTGATCGCTATTTGGACACTAGACAATTGGTTCGCATTTACAATTGATTGCAGCATCCTGTGGGCATCATCTGCAACCTTCCCAATTGTTTCTGACAAGCAACATCAATTGAGGAAATTTTATTCAATTAATGATCAATACAATACAATAATAGATGACAAAATGATTACATGATTCTGAAAAAAATGCATAATAGCTTGCTGCAATAATTTTACAGAAAACAGCTAGGAATTCTTCAGATAAATGGTTACAAATAGTACTAATTCCAAGATGCTGATAGAACAAAGTACTAGATTTAGAAGAGGACATTTAGGGCAACCCTTTCTGTTCATTCTGTATCATCCCACATCCTCAACAAACTGTAAGGGCAATCTTCAGGATTAGGAGAAAGAAGGTGGCAAATGAGAAATATTCAAGGTAGCGTGTATTTTAGACCATTTACTAATTTACTTTGTATAACATACTCCAATAATATTATATAATTAATCTGTTTCCATTTCTTTTCAAAGGTTCCATTTAATGTCAAAATGGATTAAATGTACCTATTTACTTATATAACTTTGGTTTTCATTATTTTTTATAATTCTTCTACAGCACTTTTGGAAGGGGGGAAATTGGAGCAGAATCATAAGTATAAAATTACCCATTAAAATCTTGATAATGATTCTGCTTGTTGAACTAACTTTGCTTTCATGACAATTATTTTAGAATTCTATGAAAACTATCAGATAACATGTGAAGTAAATTAAAAGTTTCTCAAGAGTATCTGTTCCCATATGGACTCTTTATTGACAGATTCCATCAAATATTTTAGTTTCTTTCATCAAGTACAAAACAGCAGCTTTCTAAACAAGACTATCAAGGAAGAATTGGTAGACTACTATTTAATGATCAAGAACAATAGTTAGATTTGCTACTGTTCTGAACACCCACAATCAGTGATAATTGCAAAGTATCCTGGAGTCAGCTAATAATATGGGAATTCACCACACCCAATTTTTAAATACAGCCTAGATGACAAGAGCATGTAATGACTCATCAGTATTAGAAGAGAAGTCTGCCTCATTTTATTGCCTAGAGCAACAGATTTGTACCTTCATATGAGTCTAAAAGCCAATTCCTCCTGCAGTTCTGTTTTATTTTTTTAATTTTCACTGAATCTTTGATATAACCAAAATCAATGTATACCCATATGTTAGTGTATGTTTTCAATCACCAAACAAATGCAGGGCAACTAGAAGTCTCAAATAGCTCTTAAAAACCAGAGCCTTCTTATCCTCATGATGTACATAATTTGAGTGACTGCAAATTTAATCTCAAATATACTCAGCAAATTTGAATACTGTTATCAGATAATAAGTCATTCACATTTATTAACATGTAGCAAAATACTGTAGCTACCAACAAAATAGGGCAAATGTATTTTCGTACAGCAACCTTTCCAACCAAAAAGTAGTATGACACAGGCCAAGTTCACACTAATATTTGCTTCAAAGTGAAAATCATATTTCAAGTTCCTAAATCTTCAATTGTTCTAAAAATGATTTGTGTCCCAGAGTTGTGATGCTCCAATTGGTGGAGGTTTTGAAGAAATTAGACAGCCATTGTTCACAATAGTTTAGGATCTCCTGCTTGAGCAAGGGGTTGACCTGGAAGACTTCCAAGATCTCTTCCAACTGTTATTCTGTTTATTCTAAGATGAAGAGGAACCAAGGATATATTATGTATGAATGTTGTGACACTGAATGTAGCCACTGTAGAAAATTATGTCTAGTGCTCAACAAAAAGGAGACCGAAGAACAATCATATATAATCATAGCTTTGACAGATTTTTTTCATTAATTAACTTAGTATTTATATAATACATGGAATCATAAACAGTCTATAGTTTTACACAGAGTAAAGTAAAACATGGTCAGCTAATTTGCAGCCCAGCATGCAATGAAAATCCAGTTTTAGAGTTGAGATGGAACATTCTTGCATACCTTTGTAAATCAATATAGATACTAGGTACATAAATATATCTAAATGCTATATTCACTATTGTTACATCAGAACAAAATTTATATTGTAGTTCTATAGAATAATACTTACTGTATAGCATAATTAAACAATAGCCAGTGTGGCTTAACAAATGGCATGTAGGAACTTTAATTTTAAAAAAAGTAGTACCCAAATTCAGCCACTATATTCATTTAGTAAATCTTTGTTCATTTTCCACATACAAGATGGGAACAATATAAACACTTAATACATGGTATAGACTGTTAAATTGTTCAATCAATTTCTTGTAACTGAACAAAAATGTAGAAGCCATTTTATAATTTTCAATGCAGATAAATTTGAGATTTTCAGATCTTGCTTCAGTAGGGCGCTTTAATTTAAAAAAATGCAATTTATCAGGAAATACAACTTACATGAGCCACTATTTAGAAAATAGGCAAAACAATTATCCACATATGGAATGAATCCATTAAATTAGAAAGTGGACTAACACCACCTATTAGAGATTCCATATAGTTACTTTCAGATACAATTCAAGAGTTGTTATAGTTGTTATCTATAAAGCCCTACATCAGGCCTGTCAAACTCCCCACCCACAGGCTGGATGTGTCATGCACTGCCCACACCCTATTTAGTGAAGGGGGAAAAAGTCCAATACCCCACGTGATGCTGCTGTGACAACATGAGTTTCACACCTCTGCCCTACATGGAATAGAGAGCCTTTCTAGCATAGCAGTTAGGATGCTGACTTAGAAAATATGAGACTGAGTTTTAGGCATGAAAGGTGAAGTTAGTGACATTGAAGCCAGGCACTCTCTCTTAGCCCAATGCACCTCACAGGATAATAGGCAGGAGTTTAGGTATGTTTGCCATCTTGAGTTAAATATTAAAAAGGCAAAATAAAATTAAAATAGGGTTTAAATATTTGGGGGAACTTTATTTCTCTAATTCTTTCTGAGATCTTGCAAGATAACAGGGTTGGCATGCTTGGTCCCACCTATTAAGCAATGTTATCTCATGAAACCAAGAAAGGGTGTCTTCTGTACTACAGTACCTGCCTTTCTGAACAATATTACTCTCAAAGCCATGATCCTACAGTCAATCAAAAGACCCCTGAAGACTACTGGCTCTTTCCCCAGGCCATGTGCTGGGAGAAGTATAATCCTGAATGGAAGATATATGTCCCTGATTAAATGTTAATACATTTTTCTCATCCAGGCATGATCATATTTTCTTTGTTAATATTAATATATTGTTTTTCTGTTTTTAATCCTTGCAAGCGCACCCACAATTTAACTGATAATAATTTAACTGATAAATATTACATGGAAGTAAATTTCAGTTTCTATCCTACTGCTTTTAAATCACAGACTGGACTTTGGAAGCTGACCAAATGTGCTTTTATGTCATAGTTTTTGCATTTTTGAATACTAAACAGAGTTTTAAAAACAATTATTCTAAACATAATGCTCGCATTGTGTCATTCAAATCTATTAACATATGGCACATTTATACATAAATTTCATGTTTATATTATAAATAGAAAAAATACTGCACAGTTCAGTTAAAATTTTCACTTGTGTAACTGGCACAACCTCTCCCTTCCTCTTAATTACTACTAAATGTCTTCCACAACATAGATTCATTTCTAATCATGAGTTAGTCCTTATAACACAGGTGTCAAATTTGATCACATCATGAGCTGGATTGTGACGTATTGCGATGTTTTTGGCCTTTGCAGAGCTGGAGTGGGCTGCGCATGACGTATCTAGCTTGTGTGCTGCCAGTTTGGCAGGCCTGCCTTATAACAACTTGTGAGTATAAGCTGTTTAAGAGAGGTCTACTGCAAAAGTGGTGAACCTGTAGGTTCCCTACTTCTATCTTATAACAAATAAATCTAAATCAAACTTCATTAAGATTTAGCTCCATTACTATTTCAGGAGTATATAATTAGTAGTTGTACTTTGACAGAGATCTCCTCCCCTTAATAAAGGCATAGTAAATAGGGAAACAAAGTTGCCACATCATCTATGAATCTAAAAAGTCAAAACCTTTTTAAAGCCAATATATAATAAGATGAGCAAGGCATACAAGTCTTTGTAGTTATAAACAGAAAGTCCCTACAATACTTGACTCAGTTTTTTTTAAACAGCAAAAAAAGCCATTTTTAAAAGGATCTGTTCTTATAAACTCTCTAACATTGCAATAACCATAGATCCAAAGGGAGATGGCAAGGGAATAGAATCTAATACAAAACAGATGATGGTTAATTTTTCCATCTTTTTAGCTATTGATACACAAAGCTCTTTTTTAAATTATGGTAAAAAGTGGTAGAAAGCTTCTCTTGACAGTGCTTCATTTAAAGCCACTTTTAAAATACATAAGAAAATTATTTAAAGTCATAACATTTGCTTAAACAAACAACTGACAATGTGGCTCAAATGCTTGTATTTTTACAAATCAAAACTGGAATGTCTTCCAAAATCAGCTATTCTGTATAACTTTTGCTTCATTTGTTTGCTGGAAATAATTTTAAAAAATCATTTTGTAATCCCTCTATTTAAAATAAAATGCAGGTAATTTGATAAAAATACAGTAAAAAATAGATATTTTCTAGGCAAGGTATCAATACCTTAAGAAAAATTAAAAACAAGGCTTTTCTAAGCCTTAGGTTTGACTATTTGCATAATTTATTTTATTGAAGTTACATTATTGCAAAAGGATAAAGTGAGAAGCCTTTACATTATAGATGCTACATTTATAACCGCCATAACAATGCCAAAAGTGTTAAGTACTTAGCAAAAGCTTTCCCTGCTTTTAACATTCCTTCCCTAAATCCACAATGTCTTTATTTCCAATGCAATATTTCCCAATTCAAACTGGGGTCAACTTAACCCACAATTTTGAGAAGCTGAAAATATAAATTCCATTAGTTTTCTTTACCACTCCATCCTCCCTAAAGTACACTTCCAACAACATAACTGTTGAATATATTTCATGCTTTCTTTGCAGGTCTATTGTACTTGCAGTAAGGCACACCTGTCGCTAGAGATCAGCAGGCTTCTCAAATTCTCTTCATACTTCCTCTTAGAAGGTTACAAAATTGACTTCTTTTCTGTATAATCCACGACAAGCAGATTCTGCACCTTAGTAGCTGCCCCCACCACCTATCCTCCTCCAAAGCATAAAGCTTTCAACGCGTCATCAACCGCCCTTTCTACAGGTGATACCACACACTTTATATTGTCCTCACACTCATGAAGTCGCTTTTTAAGTTGCAACCATGGCCCTACGGAAACATTCGCAAAAAACACATGTAATTCCACTAAGCCAGGATTTGCCACTCCACACCCAGAAAGCCTGTTTCAGCTCCGCCAAGTCTAGGAAGCGCTGGGTTCCCCTGGGTGACCCGTCCCCCATTCCCTCCTCTACGCAGCCCGCCTTTTGTTCAGGCTACCTTGTACCTTATCCTCCCACGCCCTGTTCCTTCAACCGCTCCCCGATGGTCACTCTCTAAAATGCCCCCTTTGTGCTTTCCACACGCTTTCCTTCCCTCAGCCTGGCCTGCTCTCTCCTTCCGGCAATCCACCACTTCGGAGACTGCCAGCCGGCCTCTCCCTCTCCAATTGGCCCGCCTTCTCTTCTCCTTCCACGCACACACGCTCCGCAACCGACCATCCCGCCCTTGACATCTTCGCCCCGCTCCACCCCAACCGTCCCCCGCTATCGCTCTCCCTTCACACACACACACACACCCCTCCCCACACGGGCAACCCAGCAACAACCGTCTCCCTCCGGGCTGCCAACTGCCGCTGCTCCTGTTCCCCCCCCCCGCTTCGCGACCTCTACTTCAGTTCCCCACAAGCACCCCCTCAAAATCCACTACCCCCCCGCCCCGCCCCCCCAGGGGGCTTGCGCCTTCTCTTCACGACACCCACCTTGTCAAGGCAGTTCACCTTCTCGGTTGGGTAGACGATTTTGCCGCAGCGGGCACAGCTGGGATTCATGGCGACCGAAGCGAGGTGGGGAGGGAAGGGTCTGTAGCTCTGTATGTGCGTGAGGAAAAAGAATCCTGCTGCTGCCGCCGCCTCGAAAACTGCGCCCTCGGAAAGGTTCTGCAAAGGCAGCAACGGAAAGGAGGAGAGGCGAGTAAGCAGGAAGCCACCCCGGCAATGGCTGGTGGCAACTGAGGAGGAAAGGGGCGCGGCGAGCCACTCTCTTTTACGCGCGAGCCTCCTCCTCCTTCCTCGTCAGCGCGAGCAGTCGACCGCGCGCGCGCACACAAAAGGGGTGAGGAGGGAGACGGCGTCGCCAGACGGGTCTACGGCGAGGGGGGTGGGGTTTAGTGCTCACGTGCGAGAGTTGGAAGTGGGGGGGGCGAGAGCCTGAAATAACGACGAAAAGGAAGTTTGCAGAGGCGCGCGCGTGCGCGCGCAAAGATTTCGAGGGTCGGGGAGTGAAACTTAAATATAGGCTGAGAACCGGGACCACAACGGTGGCTACGGGCAGCCTTCCCTCTGAATGTTTCCACCTTGAACTTCCCAACTATAATACCTATTATCTACAGCCAGTTCGGCCGAGTTAATAAAAAAACAGGCTTAGAAAAGCTTCCTTGCGTCTACCTAGAAGTGGGAAAACTCCCTTGAACTTTGCTCCGGAGTAGATGGGAGCTCCTGTACATACCATTACTGCCAGATTGCACACCCAATGGCAAAGAAGTATAGGATTATAATTTAAGTTGCTTGAAGAAGAGCTCCTAATGGAGTTTAAGGCTGCCTTCTACTAGAGTGCAAAAATGAAAAAGGAAGCAGTATAAACAGTACCAAACCAAAAACCACAGAGGTAGCTATTTCCTGGTTGCTACAGTGCTTTGCAATAGCTATGCCTATGCCTCATAACAAAATGTTTCTTTTCCTCCTACATGTCAGAACTTCCCCATGTTTTTGAAAATCTTGTGTCTTCTGACAATCAGTCATTCAATAGATAGAAAGACAAGAGCGAAACAATTTGCTTCACTTGTTGAAATTTACCTTTTTTTAAGGCATAAGAGTGGCTATTTACTGAGTTTCAATTTTGGAGCTTTCTGAAGAAAAAAAAACTGAACAAATTGTAGTCTAATGTTAAGATCTTTTCCCTGCCAAAGCAAGCTATTCCACTAAATTATCAATTTTGTCTATTCTGATTACCAGAGTCTAGGACTAAATTCATTTTAAGCAACTTTAATGTTAGATATTTACATATGCACCTCTGATTGGTTGGTCCACAGTGGCAGGAAATTAAAGAGCCGCCACTGGTTGTAGCCACAGCAGCCCCGCTGTAAAAGCTGCCGCGGCTGCTGTCTTTATTCTGAATGATGCAATAAACAGGAGTAAACAATCGGAGCTTCCTGTGTGTTCTCTTGCCCATGATTTAACACTGGCAACGAAGGTGGGATTTGAGAGAAGCGGGATTGTGAGCAATGTGGCTAACTAACTGGTCAAAGAACACAACATGGCAGGAAATAATACGCCACCCGCACAGTTCGACCCGACGACCAAGGATTGGGATTCCCACATCGATCGATTCCAGATGTTCCTGGAAAGCCGCAACCTGATGAATATTACGGAACAGAAGAAATGAGCCATCTTCCTCACGCATTGTGGCCCCGCCATATTCAAAATGGCTAAAACTCTCGCTGCCCCAAGCAACATAAAAATGATGGCCTGGACAGATTTAGAGAGAATTTTAAGGGCCCATTACACTCCCCCAGTATCAAGTTTAGTTAAAAGACACGAGTTCTTCCGGAGAGATCAGAAGGAAGGAGAGAGTATCAATGATTTCTTCGCGAGCCTGAGGAACACTGCTGGAGCATGCAAGTTCCTGAACATGGATGAGGCGATGAGGGATCACATAGTCCTGGGACTCAGGGACCTGACACTGCAGAGTTGTCTTCTAACAAAACCAAAAATAACACTGAAGGAAGCTATCGAAGAAGCATCAGCAGTAGAAGCATCTCACAAGTCCGCCGCAGCCATGAGGAAGGTGAATAAGACTCCACAGCCCCCCCCCAAAAGGACAGTGCCACCATTCACTACAAGGACCTCGAGTCCAAGTTGGGGTCGGCAGACGACAAAGAAGTGAATCAGCTACATCCTGAACTGCACCAGAAAAGCTGAGAAAAAAAGAGGAAGGAATTTTGGTGTATGGGTTGTGAAGGAAATCACCCTAGATTGGAATGCTGTTTCCAAGATGCTATCTGCCAACATTGCAAGCGGAGGGGGCACATCGCCAAGCATTCAAGCCAAACAGCCAAAGGCCAAGACAAGGTACCCCCCAAGGAATCGGGAAAATCAAACCATGGGGGCCAAAACAGCAGAAATCGATGGAACACAAGTCAACCACAAAGAGGAGCGAAATGCACCAGACCATGACTATGGGCCACTCCAGCATGCCAAACACCAAGAAAGTCCATGTTCACGTCATGATAGAAGGTAAACTATGTAGAATGGAAGTGGATTCCGGGTCTCTCCTATCAATGGTGTCGTGGGACACCATCAAAAGTATAATCCCCCAACTAACAAAGGCCCAACTGAAAAGACAAAAAATAATCAAGGGAACAAGATTCCCGTCATTGGCATAGGAGAATTCAGAGTGACATTCCGAAATTACTGCAGGATTCTGCCTTTAACCGTGGTTGTCCAAGTCTGCTGGGGCTAGAGTGGTTCAAACCATTCGGGATAGAATTCACTGGAATCCACAGCATCACAGACAGTGAGTGGGAAGACAAACTGATGGAGGAATTCTGAGACGTGTTCAACGGAAAATTGGGCAGGTACTTGGGGTCCCCTATTTCCTTTAACCTAGACCAATATATAGTCCCGATCAGACTAAAAGCAAGGCGAGTCCCACTTGTGCTTAAACCAAAAATAGATGAGCATTTAGACAAGCTCATTTCCCAAGGAATTCTAGAACCCATAGACCATGCGAAATGGGAAACCCCCATCGTCACACCTATAAAGCCAGATGGATCTCTGTGCATTTGTGCTGACTACTGGCCTTACAACAGAGTGCGTACCCTGTCCCAGTGGTGTAACACCTCTTACATTCCCAGGCGCAGGGGAAGATATTCACAAAGTTAGATCTCGCACAAGCCTACCAGCAATTACTGGTAGATGCTGAAATGGCGGAAGCACAGACAATTGTCACACACCGAGGGGCTTTTAAATGTAACTGCCCACAATTTGGGGTTGGCATTGCCTCGGGACTATTCCAGAGCCTCATGGAACGATTACTGCATGGAATAAAGGGGGTGGTGCCTTCGACGATGTTATCATCTCAGCCGAGGACAAAGAACAATTACAAAAACGTTTAAGGGAAGTCCTCAGCCATTTCAAAGAGGTGGGGCTTAAAGTAAAAAAGGAAAAATGCCAACTAGCAGCCGACAAGGTAGAATTCCTGGGCTATTTGATAGATGGGGAAGGGATCCACCCCACAGACAGTAAAACCAAAGCAATCAAAGAAGCCCCCAGACCAAAAAGCAAAATAGAATTGCAAGCCTTCCTGGGACTAATTAACTTTTACCATATATTCTTACCGCAGAAGGCAACAGTGGCGGAACCTCTCCACAGACTGCTTGACAAGAAAGCAGCCTGGGTTTGGGGGCATAAAGAGGCAGCGTTCCAAGAAATAAAGAACTTAATCACATCAGAATGCGTACTGATTCAGTATAACAAGACTTTACCGGTAAGATTAACTTGTGATTATCAGCCACATTTTGCTGAACGGGAAGGAAACCCCAATAGCATTTTATTCAAAAACATTATCCAAACCGAAATGAAATTATAGCCAATTAGACAATGAAGCGTTAGCCGCAGTCACTGGAATCAAGCGATTCCACAAATACATATACAGAAGGAAGTTCACATTAGTCACAGACCACAAACCACTTTTGGGCATCATCGCGGGGGACAGAGCCACTCCGAACATTGTGTCCCCCAGAATGACTCGCCTACGACTACAAATTGATGTATAGACCAGGGAAAGAAATTGATCATGCTGACGCATTGAGTTGATACCCCCTGCCCATTGAGGATGAAGATCCAGCACCAGTGACCACCACACTCCTGATAGAGACAGTTCAACAAACGCCAGTCGCAGCATCCAATATCGCAAGAGCAATAGTGAAAGACAGAACTCTGTTGCACGTTTTGAACTGGGTAGGGAGGGGGTGGCCTAAAAAGGAAAAAGCCAAAGAAACTAAACCTTTCAGAAACAGACAAACTATCCATACTGTGTATTGTGGGAGGATCAGGTCATAATTCCGGACATTTTAAGGGACGATATAATGGAAATGTTGCATGCAGGGCACCCAGGGATGGTTAAAATGAAATCCCTAGAAAGGAGTTATGTGCGGTGGCCAGGGATGGATAAAGAAATAGAGGCCTGGGTATCCGGCTGCTGGGTTTGTCAGGAAAACCGACCAGCACCCCCCATAGCGCCTATCCATGAGTGGGAAACACCCAGGGAATCCTGGTCAAGGATACATACCGATTTTGCAGGGCCAATAAAGGGACACACATTTTTTATTGTAGTGGACACATATTCTAAATGGCAGGAAGTCAGCATTATGCAGTCCACAGTGACAGAGGCAGTCATAAGGAACCTAAGGAAACTTTTTGCAAAACACAGCCTTCCGGATTTAATAATATCTGACAATGGGCCTCAATTCACAGCCACACACTTTGAAGGATTCCTAGCACAAAATGGGATATGACATGCCCTCTGCACATCCATCGTCGAATGGCCTTGCAGAACGCATGGTCCGACACCTGAAAGAAACACTTCAGAAACTAGGGCCAGGGGACATGCAAGCGAAAATAGATAAGCTATTAAGTATATAGCACGTAACACCTAGCACAACAACAAATAAAAGCCCCACTGAACTACATATGGGAAGGAAACTGAGATCACCCTTAGACAGAGTACACCCCAATTACACACCAGAAAGACCACTAGATTCATCCAGCAAATGCTGGATGTTCCAGAAGGGTGATTCAGTCTATGCTAAAAATTTAACAGGAACTGCTATGGATACCGGCAATGGTGCTACAGGTAATGGGGCCCCATTCGTAAAGAGTCAATACAACAGATGGCAGAAGCTGGAGAAGACACATTGATCAACTACGAACCCGGGGGACAAAGGGATACACAGATATAAGCAGGGAGAAAGGGGAAGCTCCTTCACATATAGGCATTAGAAGCAGAGAGGAAGGGGGAGA